TTCAACGACAAATCACTTTGTGTCTAAACGCAAATCAATTGAAAATCAATGATAAATCACTTTGATTCGTAGTGCCACATGACAGACTAAGTCAAGTGCAAGAGCATTTGGATTAGATGTGACAACTTAGAGAAAGCAGACTCTCTCGCAAAGGTGGGCGCACAACAACGCGAGATTTAAGAATTTCACATGATGAATTTTTGCCCTTAGTACGCCAGAGTTCTCTTCTTATTTGGCAAAACGATTGGACAAGTAATTCTCTTGTGCGGTGGTTACATTCCATTATTCCAAATGTTTCTTCGAGAGCGTGGTTCAAAGGTCTGGATGTAAGTCGAGGCTTCATTCGCGTGATGTCAAGACTTATGTCCAGCCACTACTCGCTAGACGCACATCTCTACAGAATAAACCTCGTTGACAGCAATATATGTAGGTGCAGAACCGGTTATGATGACATCGATCACGCAGTTTGGCATTGCCCGGGTGAAGATGCCTCCAGAGATAGACAACCCGTCCGTGAAGTAAGAGATCTATTGGGAACAAGTGATCTCCCCTACACGAAGACGATCTACGAATTCCTTTGTTTGACTGATGTTAGAATTTGATATGACCATTCCCTCCTTTCCACACATTTTCCAGCCATTGTGTCCCTGTCTTATTATCCACCTGTTTCTGTGATACTTGCCCCTATCCAGCCAGCATTTGGTCAATCGTTCGAGAGTAGTATCTGAAGGAGGCTTCAGAAACCTGTTTTCTACCTAGCTCCTTCCAATCTAAATTGTTATTCATTAACCACGAGCCCGACACGAGTAATTGGTACCCAATACTAGAGTCGGTGTATAATGAGTCACGCCAAGAGTGAAGCCAAGTCTACCTATTGAGCTGTCAAACCGGCTACCTATCGTGCAGAGTAAACAAACATTACGATGCTATGAAAGGTCCACGAAAGGTATTGCAATAAAATATAAAATATAATCGAAGAAATGATCATAAACTCGCAGTGAGCAATAAACTGTCATGGGATACGTTTGGTAATGATCACTTATGAGAATTTCTACTATTTTTGGTTGAGATAATTTGACTAAATCACTGATATAATGATTTACTACAGCCGCTATTTTTTTCTCGTTAGAAGTCATTTGAAGATGATGTAGAAGTCCTCTGTTGCCAAGTGAAAAGAAAGGGAATCTTTCAAAAACCGTGATGCGAGTTCAACTGTTTTTCTCTTGGCGTGACTCATTATACACCGACTCTACCCAATACTAACCTAGATTACTGCTGTTTAAAATGTTAATTCAAAAATTACGAATTTTTGGCTCCGCAAAGTGTGACACGTGACTGAGCCTTGTAAATAAACGAACTAGTTTAAAAAAACAGAAATTCCGGTTCCACACTACAATTTTTTGAAATATTTCTAGGACGCCATTTTGAAAAATTTAAAAGATCCGAAATGGCAGAATCGTAGTAACTATGTGAATCATTGCCCACAACAAACAATTACACAGTATTTCATACACATTAAAAAAGCTCAATATTTTGGGACTGCTCTTTGCGTCGATTCTGTGGCATAAAATCTTCTGAATAAAGGGCGAACACGAAATTATTGCGACACATTCAACAGGGCATAACTTTTTTACCATTGGGTAAAAATCAACCAAATTTTGCACACTTTCTCATTGATGTGTATTGTGTACATGCTGTCAAACTCGAAGTCGTGTTTTTCGATTCAACGAAAATGGAGGTGAACCAACGCGAGTTGAGAGAACAAATTCTTTCCAAACACCTGGAATTTCCTGACCTGTCGCACCGGCAGTTGGGAAAAATGTTGAACATTCACCATTCAACCGTCTCCAGAGTGTTGAAGCGGTTCCAGGAGCGGTTGACGTTGGACTACGGCAAAGGAGCGGGAAGAAAACCGGGACCGGAGAACAAAAAGACGGAGGGAAAGGTGAAGCGGATGATTAAACCAAATCCCAACAATTCAAGCCGTGATTTGGCTAAAAAGATCGGCATGTCGCAGAGCTACGCCCAGAATGCAAAGAAGAGAGCTGGACTACATACATACAAGGTACAGAACTTCCCAAACCGCGATGAGCGGCAACAATCGACGGCTAAAACTCGGGCACGGAAGCTCTACGAGAAGATGCTGACAAAATATGGCTGCTGAGTGATGGACGACGAAACGTATATAAAAGCCGATTTTAAGCAAATTCCGGGGTTGGAGTTTTTCACCGGCAAGAGCAAGTTCGATGTGGACGACAAATTTAAGAAGAAGAAAATGTCGAAGTTCGCCTCCAAATATCTCATTTGGCAGGCCATCTGCTCTTGCGGACTGAGGAGTGAGCCTTTCGTGACAAAGGGCACAGTAAATGGCGAGATCTACAAATCTGAGTGCCTCGAGAAGCGCCTTTTGCCGTTCTTGCAGCAGCACGACGAAGCTCCGCTATTTTGGCCAGATTTGGCATCATGCCACTATTCTAAAAGTGTCCTGGAGTGGTATGAGGCCAATTCTGTCTATTTTGTTCCAAAGGACATGAATCCGCCAAACTGTCCGGAGCTGCGCCCGGTGGAGCAGTACTGGGCAATAATGAAGCGGGAACTTCGGAAGAGCAAGAAGACAGTCAAAGACGAGGAGGACATGTTAAGAAAATGGAGAAAAAAAAACTGAGAAACTGGTACCGGATGACACTGTAAAGACTTTGATGGAGGGCATCAAGCGAAAATGCGTTCAATTTTACACTCAAGGCTCCATCGATTAACTTTTCTTTTGATTTTTGAAGTAAATATATGTATAAAACTACCCTAAAATTTTGGTTTGATTCTAAACATTATAAGAAAATTGGCATGACATTTTCGGTGTCGCAATAATTTCGTGTTCGCCCTTTATCTGCTATGCTCTTGTACGGCAATATTCCATAAAAGGCGTATTTTTACGGATGAGGGACTAGCAGAACCCTTTGCTATTTGGAATGCAGCAGCTTCCAGCAGTTTTATTCGAAATGTTATAGGGGAAATGGATATAATGTCGGCCTTAATGTACCTAATTTGGGCCCATACATAAATTCAGCAATTGGCTAAATTTTCAATAGCGATTAAAAATATCCATTAGTACCGTCCCAATGACGCGTTTATCTAGATAAAATTGATAAATAGCAGATTTTTAGCGATAGGCCCAATCTCAGATCCATAGGCCAACATTAGAGCCATTTCCCCTACCTGGCTGGGAAAATTCTTTTGATCAGTCCATGACGGTCGCTTCACATAATAGTGACACGACATACCGAAAAGGCAATATTAAAACAGGAAGTTATAGGTATAATACAATAGATCAAAGTAATGGTCGCGGTGATAAATATACCCAACACGCAATAAAAAAGAAAAAGAAAAAGGAATGTAGAGCTAAGTTTTCGAATCTAGAACTAAGCTCTACATCCCCTTTTTATTTTCCAGATCTCTAGGACCAGTTGGATGGATTTGGGAAAATAAAGTGCTACCATCCTTTATCAAGCCTCCATTAAACACATTCTAACAAGCTTCTTTCTAGAATTTTCAAATTTACACCCACAATTACTCCCACCCAGCCATTATCCAAATGACCTTTCGCCACCCCCATCATTTACTCCAGAACGACGGACATTATAGGTCCAAGCCAACTCCATTCAAACGCAATGGCGCAATCCGTTTCCGGCAGAAAACTTTCTCACAGTCTCGAAGCCATTCATGAACTCGATGCTGCCGTTGTAGTTTCGCAGCAGCACATCCGATCCGCGTGACCCCGGCGTCCCTTGGCGATCGTGTTCGCCAGCAACGAACGGTGCCAAATGATGACTAACTACAACTTTTGGGATTCGCTTTTTTGACCGTTGTTGTCGTTGTCGAACAAGACCCGGACCGTGCTATTAAGTGCTAGTGTTGCAGCTCCGAAATTTACTGACTGTTTGAGGGCACAAAGCTTCACCCCGTCGGAAGGTGGAAGTGTTTATGGCTAGCAAGTGGCAAAACAGAAAGGAAACGGAAAAGTTGTCCTTCTTTGCTAGCTTTCTGCCGAGGTTCTAGGTGTAACAGCGCGCGAAGATGGGTGCCAAATGGTGCATGGTTACATATTATTGTCTTCGAATTGGTGTGAATAATTTACGGTTAAACTTCGGCTCTTTTGGCAAAGTTCGGAATGGCGACAATGGAAAGTTTATCTGCTTTGGAAAGTGAATTCAACAATGGACGGATTTCCTGACGTGCACACTTAGAAAAATTTCTTGTAAATGTATGTGCTCAAAGCGTCCATGAGGCCAAGTACCGAAAAAACATTCTCCCGAATGAGCCTTTGAACATCTGAGCACCTCACACCTCAGATGCCCTCGATCGGGAATACGGCTCAGTAAGGAGGACACGCTCTCACTCGGGCACACATGGGATAAATATCGATAGGAGACGCCCTTCCAACAAATTTCGTTTCGCCTGCCCGACAAAATCCATTAAATTGCCCTTCAAATTTTATACGCAAGCTCGTGTACGGCATCTCAATATATCAAGAATGAATTTTCAAACAGCCGTATGTTTATCAAAGATTCAACCGTAATTTGTCGAAACTCTTAGCTCGCCCACGCAAACTAACACCACCATAGTGTGGAGGAAATTTGTATGGTGGCGTTAGTTTGCGTTTGCGAGCCAAGAGTTTCGACCAATTGACGTTTGAATCTTCGTTTTCAAAAGCAGATACGGCTATTTGAAAATACACTCGTGATATTACCTACGTCCATTGCTTCCAATCGAATAATTAATTCAACCGGATCCACTTTACGTCCATTGCATAGGTTTACAACGATCTACCTGTTCCTCCCGCCCCTCACCGCCATGCGTCTCTCCGAGCTATCGTTTGCTCATGTTCTCCTGTCTACTGTGCGCTCTGATATTCAATTAAAATAGCTTATCTCTTCGCACTAACCGACCCAAAGCACACTAACTCATGTTGATTCCATCTTCTCCATTTCCCATCATATTTGCAGATTCTAATCGTCCTGTCGACGGTCGTCTTCCTGGGAGCGATCGCATCGATTTGGAATGTTGTTGAACTTTGGTCCATCTACAGCATCGCACAAGGCATACAGGTAAGTGTGGGTGGGGGTGGTCGAGAGGGAGTTTGAAAGCTCCATTCATACAAAACGATGGTGCCTGTGTAACACACATATGTATGATGGATTACTGGCTGGCCCTTGATGGAGCAAAGTGGAGCAAATGTTTGCTTGTTGAAATCAGTGCGCTCACGTGATTCAATATCAATAATGCCTGCAACATGATGACGGCACCGGTCGTTAGGTACCTACTCATAAACGATTCAAAATGCTCACCCACCGCGCTCTGACCCTCGGGCACCATGTGAGAGAACGTATTGTCCTGAAGTATTAGGCGATTCGTTACCTTGTGGAATGAATGTATCGGATTTTGATTAAATCTTTCTAACCGCTTCTTGGAAGATTAAATAGGAAATTTATCCGGCATGGGTACGGCTAACACCTGAACGGACTGGCCAGAAGATTACACAGCTCTTTTATACTGCAACCGGTTGTTGTTGTCCTGTGATCTATGTGATGTTAGGTTGAGTATTTAGTGGCTGAGTTCACTCAAATTACTTGGAAGCGAGGATGAAAATCGATGTTGAATGGTTTTACTTAAAACTAGCGCATGAGTGAAATTGATTGCAAGATTATATTGAAAACTACTAAGATTGAATTCCATTTCCGTAATTAATCGAAACTTGAAGAGAATGCACAATGTGTGAAGGGTGCTTCATTATGTAAGAAGTATGGTCACTAGACTGATGCAAAATTTGAAATTTCACTCCACAGTACTTAAACGGTTCCAAATTGGGTCCTGCTTAGCCTCCCAAAATTTGAACTACTTTAGTAAGAAACTGACTTGGCACAAGCCATTTCAAGTTTATATGGGAATTATTATGGGAAAACTTATGTTTTTGTTCATATCTATCTTACCATTCATCACATCACTATGCTTTTAAAAATGATAGCAGTGATTGTAGAAAATATTCACAGCTACAACATTGTTGAAAACTACTTTTGAATCAAATGTAAGGAACAAAAGTTATTAATGATTCAATTCACTGATGTCTTATGATTATGCTCATTCAACTGATCAGCAGGCAACATTGGTGCTTCTGGTGCGAAGAATAGAGCACAAATATCATGGCTACATGTCACACTGCAAAATACAGTGTTGCCCACAGAACAGCTGCCTGATCATGCCATAAGATTATCAATCTCTTAAACAATTAATAACATTTTAATTTGACATTTGGCTGAAAAACGATATTGAGCAAAGTTGTAGCTTAGAAAATTTCCCGTAAGAATAGTTATCTAGATTTTAGAAAAAGCAATATGGAAAATGGTTAGAAGACAATGAACAAAAAGTTTGGTTTTCCCATAGTAATTTCCATATAAACTTCGAACAGTTTGTGCCAAGTCAGTTTCGTACCAAATGAGTTTAAATTTTGGGAGGCTAATCAGTACTTGATATGAAACCGTTTGAGCACTGTGGAGCGAAAATTTCAAATTTTGCATAAGTCTAATGGTCACCTTCCAGATTGAATTATTGCCTTAAAATATGAGTTTGGGCTAAACATTGTAAAAGTTTAGAGGTCCCGCAAATTGTTTGAAGCCTGTATGGGAATTACTATGGAAGGCTTTTTAAATTTAACTTACATCGCTTTAACTTTGGTTCTACTTGTCCAAACGCTGATAAACTTGAATACTTGTATGTGGTTGCTATGACAGTGCACAGTGAGGTGAACGTGGCCATAACTGTTTTTTTTTTCAGCCGCTTTTGTTATTATGTAATCTTTCCGTAATCCTCAATGAATTTCATCGAGGAATCCAAATTTTCATCCCAATCGGATGAGAAATATATTTTTGGAAGAATTTCACAGGAAATTTCTTTATTAACATTGTCATTGACACTGCTCATTTTTTTTTTTTTTAATTCTTTATTTAAGAGATTTTTAGCCTTAGGCTAGTTCATCTCTAAAAGACACTGCTCAACTCTCACCGTGGCAAGCAACTACCCACGGATCTGCACTTAAGAAGAATGAGAACCAGGGGTCAGTGCAGGCTTGGGAATTGTCAACCTCATGACGATAAACTATGTAACAACGACAACAACAAAAAAGTCAACGCTCATCTGACAAGCACGATGCAACAAAATTCTGCTTGAAAGACTGATCTACTGGGCTGTCTCTCGACGATACATTTTCTATTCTTGTCTTTCTCTCATTTGGTCACGAAACATCTGTTGCGTGACGTTTTCCAGAATGACTTAGTTGTTTCACGTACGTCGGACGACAAGATTGACGGAAACTGTCGACATGGTTATTGACGAAAAAAGTCTTTCATGTCATTCTTCCATTCTGTCGCGACAAAACTGCCACTGGTCGTTTTCTAATAAACGGATGTCGCTTTGGATGCGAGACATAACAAGATAGAAATAACTGGAATTGTGTTGTTTTGACGTGATTTCACCTCTGACTCGAAGTAGCTTGAATCTTGGCGCTGAACTTCGTGTTTGCAGTGATGGGTATTTTTGAAACGGACACAACTGAAAGCTGCCGAAAATCGAGGGGGGCGACACATCTAAATCTCAAGTTTAGATGGTCAACAAATCTCACACTAGCGAATCAATCTTCGAACAATCTTCTTTCATTTGTCGCATCTACTTGCATCGCTCATCATTTTTTTGCAGGAAATCTTCAGAATCGTCATCAATCTTCTTTCCATCTACTCAGCGTGCGCGCAGCTAGCCACAGCAAAACACAATCTTTTTTGCATCGTAGATAGAGTCGTCCCCCTCGCCGAAAATCGATGTTTGGAATCCAAGATTGCAGCGTCCGGTTTTAAAAAAAGTGGGAAATACTGCCAAATACCCTTCAATATGTATATTATTGGAATCGGGATGACGTCTAGAGACAGAAAATCGATGTCCAGCGCCATCTGGAAATCAAAGATGGCGGCTGCCGATTTCAGAAAAAGTGGGAAATACTACCAAATACCCTTCAATATGTATATTTTTGGAATCGGGATGACTTCTAGAGACCAAATATCGATATCCAGCGCCATCTTAAAATCTAAGATGGTGGCTTCCAATTTCAAAAAAAGTGGGAGATACTGCCAAATACCCTTCAATATGTATATTTTAGGAATCAGGATGACGTCCTGAGACCGAAAATCGATATCCAGCGCCATCTTGAAATCCATGATGGCGGCTTCCAATTTCAAAAAAGTGGGAAATACTGCCAAATACACTTTAATATGTATATTTTCGGAATCAGGATGACGTCTACAGACCGAAAGTCGATGTCCAGTGCCATATTTAATTTCAAGATAGCGCTGAACATCGATTTTCGGCCATCTTGAAATAAAAGATGGTGGCTTCCGATATCAGAAAAAGTGGAAAAAAAACTTCCAAATACCCTTCGGCCTTCAATATGGGTATTTTTGCAATAGGGATGACGTCTAAAACCCGTTAATCGATTTCCGACGCCATTTTGAAATCCAAGATGGCGGCTTCCAATTTCAGAAAAAAGTGGGAAATACTGCCAAATACACTTCAATATGTATATTTTTGGAATCGGGATGACATCCTGAGACTGAAAATCGATTTCCAGTGCCATCTTGAAATCAAATATGGTGGCTGCAGATTTCAGAAAAAGTGAGAAAAACTGTACGGTCTCGAGACGTCATCCCGATTCCAAAAATATACATATTGAAGTGTAATTGGCAGTATTTTCCACTTTTTCTGAAATTGGAAGCCGCCATCTTGGATTTCAAGATGGCGCTGGATATCAATTTTCGGTCTCAAGACGTCATCCCGATTTCAAAAATATACATATTGAAGTGTATTTGGCAGTATTTCCCACTTTTTCTGAAATTGGAAGCCGCCATCTTGGATTTCAAGATGGCACTGGATATCGATTTTTGGTTTCGGTTATCCCGATTCCAAATAATATACATATTGAAGTGTTATTGGCAGTATTTCCCACTTTTTCTGAAATTGGAAGCCGCTATCTTGGATTTCAAGATGGCGCTGGATATCGATTTTCGGTCTCGAGACGTCATCCCGATTTCAAAAATATACATATTGAAGTGTAATTGGCAGTATTTCCCACTTTTTCTGAAATTGGAAGCCGCCATCTTGGATTTCAAGATGGCGCTGGATATCGATTTTCGGTCTCGAGACGTCATCCCGATTTCAAAAATATACATATTGAAGTGTAATTGGCAGTATTTCCCACTTTTTCTGAAATTGGAAGCCGCCATCTTGGATTTCAAGATTGCGCTGGATATCGATTTTCGGTCTCGAGACGTCATCCCGATTCCGAAAATATACATATTGAAGGCTATTTGGCAGTATTTCCCACTTTTTTCTGAAATAGGAAATACCAATATTGAAGGAAATTAACATTATTTCCGGCCTTGTTTTAAATCTAACCTCCGTTTTAGAATAGATGGTTTCTTGTCGTGAACCTTCTTTTTAAACAACCTATATAGACTTTGTCTCAGAGAACAGAATGAGTGACATATGACTAGAATAGAAAGTCGCGACTGGATGGATTCTTGATTTGGTCGTAGTGATCTTGTCGTGCGACAAGAAATTGTTGTTTGACGAGAATTTTCCAGGATGGCCATTTTTTAATGTATCTTGTCGTGCGTCAATGACAAACGCGACAATTCCCATATCTGCGGTCAGTGTCCATGTTTTTGATGCTATTATCTGCCCTTGTCCTTCTGCTTCTAACAGGGTTTTCCATCTCTTTCCACCATCTATACGTCAGGCGGGCCTCATTTAAATACGCCCGTGATGTTGCTAACTGTCAAACGCGTATCAAGATGCCAGCCCCTTTGGCGTGAACCTACTTATCCTACACTCAAAAAATTCCACACGTTTGATTGAAGTGCTTAAGCACTTGATTTATTAAATGCACAATTTATTTTTACTTTAAGTGTATTTCACCCGAGATTTCACCTTGGCTCAATGTGTTATACACGTTAATTTCTAGTGTTTCAAACTTTTAAATGTTGAAAATCTTTCACTATCTATTCAA